GACTGTCTCAGTCGTAGACGTAGGGCAAGGCAGAGAGAAACGTAAAGCCTCCGCTACAATGATTCTCGGTTCTGTCTACAATGGTCGTAGTCGTAAGAATAATCGACTGCGATTGGTCAATTCTTATCGAGCGACTACGACTACGACCATTGTAGACAGAACCGAGAATCATTGTAGCGGAGGCTTAAAGCCTCGTTTACATAGAAGTCGTAAAGTCGTAGGCGTAAGAATAGTCGACTATGATTGGTCAATTCTTATGTGACGAAATTGTCCAATCATAGTCGACTATTCTTACGACTACGACTTTACGACTTCTATGTAGACGAGGCTTAAAGGCCATTCTACAATTGCGTAAACGTGGTTGTTATCGGTTGTACAGTGTTGTAAAACACAGTTTTAAACTAGCATTTCCGATTGTAAAGCCTGTTGTAAAAGATGGCTGAGCTTCATCTTTCACGACTACAACGATGTAGGACGTAAAAGCTAACCAATCATTAACTTCAATTACGACGTATCTCACTCTATTGTATATTATTTTGATGTACACTTTCTACTACTTCTACTCCTACAACCCTGCAACTACGTTTACGCAATTGTAGAATGGCCTTTATACTATGGCCTTGGCTGCCGCGCGCGTCTACATTGCCGCTAAAGTCGATATCTCCAGCTGCTGGTTCACCTACCTACCTACCTGCCCGACGTAGCTCGTTGCTTTGACGGAGCGGCTTTCGCGAGATCAAAATAATCCTTGTGCTGTGATTGGTCAAATCTGAAATTTCTAGCATCACATTGAAATTTTATTCAATGAAATTCCAGATTTGACCAATCATAGCACGAGGCCATTTTAATCTGGATCATTTTGATCTTCTCGCGAAAGCAGCCCGGGGAAAAAAAGGAGGAAAGAAGAGTCGCGGGGAATTCGTCGGAGACGAGCACCGGGGGAAAACCCAGTCCCGTTCTCCCCAGACGATTTCGGCTATATTCGGCCTGATCGATCTCTTTTTTTTCTTCTTTTTCATTCCATTCTCTTCGTTACGATTGCCATTGCCACCATTGTTCTCTCTTGTTACCTTACTTGATACTAAATCGCGTTACCGCGTCCCTTGGAGGGTGGGAAATCCACATAACAAAAAAAGAGAAAGATTTTACTTCTCTGGAGTAACGGCCTTTTGTTGTCCCTCGATATTTTGTATAGCGGTCCGAATCCACGTGAAATAGCAAATCTTAGTGTGTACATACAAGCGATGTATACGGTTTAATAATTATAATAAAATTGTCGACAATAGCAATTTTGCATGTAAAATTTACTAAGCTGCAGGTATTCAGTTGTCTCAGTTAACTTGTAAGATACCTTCAAAATTTGTAACTGTTCAAACACCGTTTTGAGACCACAAACAGAGAAAATATATTTCTCTTGAGTTTCACATGTTCTAGAATCAAGTCAGTTAGATTATACTTCAGAGAAATTCCTCAAGTTTCGTTCTCCCTTCAAAACTATCGAGAAATCGCAATTTATTCGATCTTTTTAGTAGAGACAGCAATTTGCTTTCACTCTCGAGTTCTAGCTGCAGAATTTATCGCACCGAAGGGCTTCTCCACTTCGTGGGTCCAAAGCGAATGCGTATCACGCGAATGAATGTATGTAGTTCCTAGTACACGTTGCTAAATATATTTTCAGGAGAATGTCTCTGCGGAAACCGCTATCTGTGCGGGACATTGAGATAAGAGACGTGGCCTCGATAAAATACAATAGAATCAATTTATAATCGCGTCTTTTTCACATTTGAAAAATACCGGCGGACCTTGACTATCCTATTCAAACCGAAAATAATATGCAGGAGATACATATGGAATGTTTGAAATACAAATACTTTTAAAACAGTGAAAAAAATCAGGACAATTCTTGGAAATAAAATATGCATCTGTACTCAGGCTAATTTGTTTATTGTTATCTCCATGTTGAGGAAAAAATACTGAAGAGAGAGAGAGAGAAAGAGAGAGAACTATAACCTTATTTTTTCCTTCCTTTTACCTAAGGAACCCAGCTTAGGACTGCTTAAAACGATACAGCTAGATCACAACCCATAATGAGATTATATTTCTTTCATATAGTTGAAACGTGCCGCTATCTACGTAATATTATTACAAGGATAATATATATGCGGAGCATAATATCAAAATGGTGCTGTTTGTAAAAAAATTCGTCATTCAACTTAATATACTTCGCGCATCTATTTAAAAAAGGGTGAGAGACTTTAATTAAAACAAGCACTAGCGCCGCATATATATCGAATTGTTTAAATACTATTTATAATTATTTGAATGCAATGAGAAAGAAAATGATGCATCAGTGGAAAACATGAAGACGATAAATGAGAAAGAACTCCATGTTGAATATGAGCGAATGAAGTAGCCGACTTCGACATAGTTGACTGAACGAAGATATCCACGCTATCTTCATTTAAGGTGTACATAATGCCATTTATCGACTGAAATCATACATCATAAAAACAATTCAATGAACAAGGGTTTTAATTCACATACATTCAGTATATGTATATTAATAATCTCTTCGTGTAATTCAAATATTTGAAAAGTAAATGCAATTTCTAATTCCCATCACAACTGTTACAATTTCGGATGTACGAAGAAACATTTGTCAACTGAAAGAATTAGAACATTGTAAGTGCTGTTATATATAGAAAAGAATTTAAAAAAAAAACAATTTCAATTCCATGCTCAAGAAAGAAAATTTACATTTCTTTTATTATGTTACACTCAGGATGTTTACCTATCGGTTCCACAGTTAGAGGTTCCACCGGCTCAGGCGCCTTTTCTAAGACCTCTTCTGCTGCTTCAGTGGTAATCTTGAATGGACTCCCCTCCACTGTTACATTAGAACTGTAAAAATAATATACAGAATAACATCTCAATTGCCTCATCCAAGATATACGCAATTTGAAAAATAATTTTTACGAACCAGTTTATTTCACTAGATGAACCCTCCTGTTTGACTAAGGTCTGCCAGTGTTGGTGCACCTCGTCAACAATGTGCAATGCAAATTCTCGTGTTTTTGCTTCGCCGTTAAATGCAAATTGATTTTCCGGCTTTCCATCCGGAATTTTGTATATCTTAAACCATTCAATTGTGGCTTTCAATAACCCTGGAAAATGCTTCTCCATGTCGCTTATATCTGAAATAATATTTATTAAATTAGCGATATACGAGTGAAAAATCTCCTATTTGATCTTCCGGTGTTCAAGAATTTAACCGGAAGACGTATATTCTATTGAATATTGTACATATTCTAAATGTAAATTTAATATAATATAAACATAAATGTAAATTTAAATATAACAATTACCGTTCATTTGATCGGCCAATGGATCATTGACATCGATTACAATGATCTTCCAATCAGTTTCGCCTAAAATGAAGATTGTTCATAACGAGACAAGTATATTGCTATATTTTTTTCTGTATATATGTATAACTTATCCTAATTATCTAACCTTCATCAATGAGTGCCACTGTTCCAAGAACTTTCACTTTTAATATTTCGCCTCGTTTAGCAACCTACGTCAATGCAAATATACTTTCAGCAACAACTGTGACATGACGAATAAAACTTTGGGTGAAATATATTAATTATTTCTCACCCTGTAGCCTATTTCAAGAACGTCAATGGGATCGTTGTCACCCTTGCAGCCTGTCGCTTCGTCCAAAACATCTGGGTTTTCCCATGTCTGTTAATTAATTATATTATTTAATACGGTTACCCTATTGCAGTAACAAAACGCAAAAAATGACAAATTATAGTATTACATATTAAAAATAGCTTATAACAAAAGATAAGAAATGTATCCTTTCCTTTAAGAAACCAGGAAACGAGATAGCATTTCAAAAGTAATGGTAAAGAATGATTGACTAGTATAAGTGTGCGCCTTGAATCACAAACTCATGCAATGCAAGATACACGAACATAAGATAAGACTTATATATATATAGACACGCACTTAATGCAAGTTTAGTGTAACTGCTCGTACTACCTTTTCTTACGCTCAGATAATAAATCGATAAGACCATCACTGAATTATCACGCGTATTATCAGAAAGAGAATGACAGTTTATTTAATAAAGTAACGAATAAAAGGACTTTACAACAGTCAACTTGTTGCGAGACATTGCCGTTTCTGACACAGGCGGCAGTGTAATAAATGCAACGTTTAAAAAAAACATTGTAGTCCTAAACTAGCGTTTTTCTTCACGCCGGCCAATAAAGTTCTTTCTCTTCGAAGAAGAAAAAGAAACGCTGGCTACATGTAAAAACACATTAACAAATGTCAAGGCCAAAAATAATGAGCAATCTGGGTGACTAAAGACTATCGTGTTTCTACAATTTTCAAAAGTATACACACGTCTCGACATCACTATTCTTCATCAACATACGCAAAACAAAAATGGATATAATAAAATGACGGCAAATGATGAAAATCATTCCTTTTTGTTTCGCAGTTTTTCTAAAAGAGAAAAAAGAAAAAAGGAGTTCAAGTCGTTCAATGTTTCGTACTGTAATATATACTGAGACGCACTGAAATCAATCTAATACGGTATATTGGATATATTTATTGTAAGTTTTCTTTGGAAGTGTATATTCTATCATAGTTTTATAGTCATATTGATGTACAGCCACATATTGGTATACTTCACAGATTTGTGCTTGAAGAGGACCGCAATCCGTACGGTCAAAACATTGTATATTATTTAAGATTAATAAAATAATCCCAGTTGCGTCGAGGGGAAAATTGAAGTGCTTGGCTAAAAAAAAACCCCCTTGCATACAGGGATGCCAAATAGCCGAGTAACGGAGCAGTTGCTTTTTAAGCGGGGAAACTCAAATTCCTGCTTACAATTAAAAACTGTGTGTAGCGAATAAACGTTATGACAGGTGCAAGAATCGAAAGCAGCTATCAAAATTAATGACTGGACGACAGCCGAGTGCAGCCGCTGGAACATCCCACCTGTGGCAGAGCTCCGTAATTCCATATGTAGCCGTGGTGAGGGAAGCAATTGGCGACAAATCTCAACTTGCCCTTCTTGACGTCCTGCTTGATGGGATTCAGGGACTCCCGGAGACATATCTCCATCTTGGCGTTCGTCCATCTCGGTATCTCGACGATCATGTGCATGGTCTTGTTGTCCCCGTTGGCGTAGAGCGGAATGTCGTGCATGGGCGAGATTGGGACGCCCGCCTCATTTTCTGCGCGCGAGGGAGAGAAATTTCAAAGGTACCGCGAGAGAAGCACGTGTCATCGTACTCAGAATGATGCGAATTATTCCACGCGCTAATTCGAAACAACATCATTAACATGCTGTCGACAACAATTGTGCAAGGGGTCTATCCGGAGAAACTTGCATAGCGCATAAACGTATGCACAAGGAATCTGATTGGGCCATAAATGCACGCGTAAGGAAACAGACTAATCGGGGTCTAAGGCCTGTCGCACACAAAATTGCATAGCTACATATGCATAGCATAAAAATCATTTAAACCAATGAGCATCGAGCATTGATTTACGTAACATGCTCATTGGTCTAGACAAA